AAGGGAAGATAGAGGGTAGGAGAGGTCTCGGACGTAAAAAAATGTCATGGCTGCGCAATATTCGACAATGGACAGGAATCCACAGCTATGAAATGCTTCGAAATGCTGCTAAAAACAGAATTATTTAATCCTAGAATATTTAACATCTCACCTGACAAGACGATGTACGGTGGACGCCTACGCAGAAATGCACGGCACCTTAAGAAGAAGAAGAAGAAGAAGCTCACAATTTTCAGTTGCAAACATAAAAAAAATACAAAAAAAATTAATATCAAAAATAAAACAAAACAAAAATAAAATGACAAAAAAATTCCAAAAAAGCAAAAAATTAAAAAAAACTTGTAAACACGCCAGCTTCTGCTGCCAGTCCTAAGCCTGGATAAAGTGTGAAGGCAACTTTTTTTCATATAAATATTTTTCACTTTTTACTTTTACCGTAACCGATTTTAGGTTAGGTAGAATCATTTTCTGTAATTATATATAGGGGATAAACGGGGGTAATTGCTATTGTCAATTAAAATAAACTATTTATAGTATTTCATTAATAATACGCGTCCTTTTTTTCACGCGTCCTTTTTTCGCGCGTCCTTTTTTCCGCGTCCTTTTGTCAGTATACCAATAATTTCAACATTCAGTAGCATTGCAATTGCGAACGATTTGTGTTGTGCTTAAAATATTTGAATATTATTTTCAAAGAATTTTGTCGAAAAAGAACTGAGACAAACGTAGTGTTATTAAATAGGATCGCCAAATATTATTAAACGTGCATAATTATTTTAAAAATACCAGAAACGAAATAGGTACGCTGTTAATAGTTAAAAATAAAGCCGTTGAAGCAATAGGTAAGGAGCTTTAATGTATTTAATATTAATTTTTTGATATTTAAACCTGTAAATTGATGATAATTATTATTTATAAAGATCAACAGGCCTTGAAGGTCTATGGCTAAAAATACTTTTGTTTTAATTATTTTAATTCCATTCACGTATATTCAATGCTTTTTATTTCCAGTTTTCAATGATACATCTTTGTCGATCTTCCCATACGCTGCTCTCCTACCTCTTTTTTGGTCTAGTTTTTCTTCTCTCTTGTAATGGCTTTATTGAGAGTACGATTTTCAGCATATTTATTTTCCTATTCTTTCTATGTGTTCTAAATATCGAGTCCTCTACGTCCCTTCCATTTCCTGACCTACTAGTTCCACACCTTATATTTTTCTCTACCATCTTTCTAAAAGGTTTTCCTCTTCAAGTACCGTCTCCTAATCTAAGATTGAATCACCATCTTTATTCTATCTATCATTGCTAGGAACGCACCTTAAACCAGTCTCTTAAATTGTTCAACCATGAGATTCTCCTTCAATACTCCTTCCTCGCCTTATATTTCCCTGTATTATTTCTGAGTATTTCGTATCACTATACCCTCATTACATGTCCCAGATATTGCAACTTTTTAATTTTTATTTTACAAACGTGTTTTTTGCTATTTCTATCCTGGTTGTCGTTTAATCATCATTTTCTGTGATCCAGGTTCCCAATTATTTGTATATTAGTTTTCTTTATTATTATCATATATTTAGTCTTTTTTATATTTATTTTTAGTCTAGCACCCATGTTTCGCTTGCGTATGTAGCTGGTTTTTTTTTGTATTTTGACATCTTTTTTAATGTACAAGGCATGTTCTCTTATACATGGGCTTTTATTATTCTTAGTCTCTTTATTTCGTTTGCTATTTCTTGCTCTGTAGGTATTTCTATTATGTGATTATCTACAATTTCATGGTTTTTTCATTACTACTCAGTTTTTATTTGCCAGTTCTGTAAAATAATTTTGCCGATTTCTTCCGAAATCCGAATATCCCTTCGTCATTTTTCATATGTGGGTTTCTTTGTAGAAGGCTTACCTGTTTCTACATGTTCAGTCTGTTTCAAATTTGGATTCCTACAATACGAGCCCTAACAACTAAATGTTTGGACAAACGAAAATTTGTTGAAAACGTTCATCTTTACAACTCTGCTTATTAAACCAAAGAACGATATCAGTAATACATTACACTCATATCATTAATAACAAGATATTGAAATGGTTCGGTCTCCATAAACTTTAGATTGCAGCGTTGGCGGCAAAATAAACAAAAATGTTGCATAACATCGTGACAACTAAATGTTCGTACAATTCAAGAAATTACTACTTTAATATGAGGTTACACCGTCACGCGCCTTTATAACCGCAGGAATTCTGTCTCTCATTGTTCGTACTAAGGATTTACATAAGTCAGGGTCGAAACTATCCCATAATTCACCTTATTTACTCTTTAAATCGTCGACGGTTCTCTGAGGATCATTACGCAATTTCTGTTTCATCTTATGTCACAATGTCTCGATATAATTAAGGTCTGGACTATTCCAAACTGTCTATTCTATTCGTTACTGTCTCCAAACTATTTTTTAGTTGTTTAAGCTGGAAAGCATGCAACACCGTCCTGCTGGAATATAAAATTCGAGATTAGATCGGGTAGAGATCGTGAGCACTTGGTACAAGACTATTTTTCAAAATTTTTTGATACTTCAATTATTGCGTTAATTGTGCCTTCCACCATCTCATATCGTCCTACACGAGCTGATGACACGCACCCCCAAATCAAAATTCCATTGGGAAATTTCACAGTTCTTTTGAGGCAATCTTTATGCAATGCTTCATTTTTACTGCTGACAACCCGTTCTATATATATTTTTACTAGTTTATTTTGAAAGCTCTATATTTTCTGCGGCGTTCACAAAGTTTACTGTTTTTTTTATTGACTGTAACTGAATTTTTTTTCGAGTTACAACTATACCTTTTATTTTAAACTATCTAATGTATATCCTATTCGTAGTGGGGGCTTCTATAAAATCTGTACAATCATCTACTTTTACCTGTCTTCATTATTCTAGTATTTGCGTTTTAATCTTGTATACACTTGCGGGCAACAAAAATCGACTCACTCTATGAATTGTAGTTTATGCTTAGTAATTTTGTTGGGTTACTTTAAATTAAAACAACGAATGCAAAAAAATATTGTCTATTATAGAGCTTCCAAAAATAATTGTTTTATGGAAATTGGCAACGTATGGTAAAATTTGCCTACTTCTGCGTGGCATACAGCATGTAGCAAATATTGTAACTGGCATATTCCACGCAATGTAGAAATCTATGAATTTGCCGGTGGTCGTCTCAGTTGCTTTTCAAACGTTGACGTGTGTGTACACTTCAAAGTGCAGTAAGTCAGTATTTTACAAATGGATACTTCACCACTGAACTCAGCCCAGGTAATTGCATTATTACGAGAGAGCTATAGTCAGAAGATTGTCGCCCTTCGCCTAGTTATGACGTAGTCTGTAGTCTCAAGCGCTTACCGTCGATACCAGGAGATCGGTAGCTACACAGGCGATGGCTTCTTGCTAATGCATGATAACGCTCAATGTTATACAGCGCGGATTACGAAAGATTATCTGGCCAATACATCTAAGAACAACTAACTGGTCTCCATTAAGTCTGGATATGAATCTTGTCGAGCACCTTTGGGATGAGATCAAACGAAGAGTACAGGTCCGTAATCCAGCACTAGTGACGGAGCTAATAACTGCATTAGATGAAGAGTGGGAAGTGATTTCCAAGAGATCAGTAGTAATTTCAATTTTTTATGTTAATTAACTTTTATATTCATTAAATAATGACTTTCATCCATAACATGTTTTCTAACATTCAATATTAAGTTATTTTTGTTATCTTCTTTAGTTACTAAGTTTATAAATATTGGTGTTATTGCAATAAAATTACTTTTGTTCACAAACTTTTACTTCTAATTTTATATATATGTAGATAGACAGTTGTCAAACATCGTAGTCAAAAAAATGTAACTTATTTACTTTTGAGTCGATTTTTTTGCTTGCAAGTATTGTCTCAAAATATCAAACTCTCGAACTGAATGTTCTCGATAAGAGTTTTTGGATAATTTCTTGATGACCAGTGCATCAGTCGTTTGTTGTTTAATATACGTAGCAAGTATATATTTGTGCGTTATTTTTTCACTATTAGAAATGTTGGTAGTTTGATGTAAAAAGCTTAAAAGTATCTAATGCACAGAAAAAACAGATTTATTAGATTTAGAAACATACGTTTATTTCCTTTTTTCTGATGTCCACTCGCTGATGTGTCTTCGCGTCTACTCCGTATTAGAAATCGGACTAAGGGCCGCGTTTTTCTGTCTTCGGACTTGTCTTCAGCATACCACTATCTGATGAGATTTCAAGTGGATCAAAACATCTCAAACTATGGCAGGAGCACAGACTTTTAGTCAACAATGACAGGGGATTGATACCGTTTAGATATGTAATATCGCGCCTCTTTATTTTGAACCATCTAACTTGTGATCTTCCTACCTGGCAATTGTCCTCATTTGCTATCAAATCCCCGAATCAATCATGAGGGGTCCAAGCACAAAAATATTATTTTAATATCGCAATCTAATGTTACTTTTATCCACGTCTCTGAAAATTGCGATAGGTATTAGCAAGACTAGTAAGTATTAAATATATATATTGCCGAATGATTTAGATTTTATCTGAACTGATATTTTGGCACACAACAAATTTTATGAAGAGTTGAGTTGGAAAAAACTTAGTTTTATGAATCATATATATACATGTCTGATACAATGACGTAGATCTATAAAGACATATTTGTTCTTCAGAACACAGAGAAATTCTGAAGTTATGTATAATTTGTGAATAAATAGTATGTGCTGAAAAATTAGATTTAAATACTTAACCTAGTAGAACCTAAAATACTGACTGGAGATATAACCAATTATTTACTTTCTTCACATAAAACACATTTCTATTTACACGTTCCTGTTCTCACTTACATCTTTTTTAAGTCGTTTTAAGTTAAACAAACTTCAGTCTTTTCACTTTCACTTGTACAATGCGTTAAGGAATATTTAAAATATAAATAAGTACAATGATGGCAACATATTTACTGCATTTTCGACACTTCAAACCTAGTATTAACAAGTTCTTCATCTGAATCTAAAATAGGAAGTGCAGGATCACTTTTGACATTTTCTTCCAACCACTTGAGATCATCATCTATTGAAGTTCTTTGAGAAGAATTATTTTTAGGGTGATGAACTCGGACTTTTACTCCATAAGCATCATTAACAAGCTGTTCTTCCTCATCGGCATCATCACCAGTATCCAAAAGGGGAACAAATGCATATCTTTGATTATTATTTGTTGGCCTCCATAAGATCATTATGACTAATAATAACAACGAAAAGAGGATGTGCCAATATGCTTCCTCTACCCAAATATCTTTCCACACAACCAAGCAATCGACAAAATGATGGACTTTGATACAATATAACATGAAGAACACTGAAGCCAATACAGAAAAAATCAAAGTGTTGGTAAAGTGGCGGTAAAGGCTTAGTTTAGTTTCATTTCGTCTTAATCTCAAAGTTCTGGTAGTGTTAACTAATGCTGAAAATATCCACCAGCAAATCGCAGAATCCAACACAGCAAGTGGTACAGATGCTACTAAAATATCTTTGCTAGGATTACTTTTTTCTTTAGTTATTCTTAAATAAGCTTCAGAGGCAGCTAAAAAGAAGTAAAGAAGGCCAACCCCTACGACTCTATGTAATGTAGCTCCTAATCTAGGTTTAACAATACCAAAACCTAAACTAACTATCACTACAAGAATACGAGCTAAAGTTCTTTTAGCACAAGATATCCATTCCGCAAATATCATTGCTCCTTCAACCCTGACCCCTGTGTTATTAATGCTTTGGTATTCTGCATAAAAAGTTGCCTTTTCCAACATTCCCAATAATATTACGCCTCCAATCCAAAACTGAACTCTTAGAAGATCTCTCCATTGTGAAAACGATAGAGTAAGCCATATTAAGCCCAATATTACATAATAAACACACATAAAACCATAAAAAGGTAATAATGGCCACTCAGCAGCTGAAAGATACCCATAATCGTTTTTCATTTCAATATGAACTCCAACACTATATTCGGACATGTTTGAACTGGAGACTTTTAAAGCTAGTACATAGACACCATCATGAGTTACTGTATGAATTGGTTGTTTGCCACTGTGCTTTTCTGATACTGATGGCGTAGCTGGATTTTCTCTAAGGAAAATGTTGTCATTGCAGTCATATTTTTCACTTGTATGATATATTTTCGAAGAATTCCTAAATTCAGGATTTGGCGAAGATATTTCCTAAAAAATAAAAAAAATACATTGAACTTATATAGGTTTTCTCAAGCAAAAAACTTTTATACATATATGAAAGTAAATGAGCATTTCAATACGAATTCCACCATTGTTCTACATGTGTTTCAAGTTATTCAAATCCTCATTAGGAGCACTTGTGGAACTGAACAGAAAAAAGAAGAACGGACAGTTGACGGACGAAAAAGAAGAATTGATAGTTAAAACGACAAGTGAAAGTTGGCAGCTGTCATCCGCGAGCTTGTGACGTCAGTGGGCATGGCAGCGGTGAACATAAAAGGATGCCGCTTTTTCCGATTTTACCCATGCCCAACCGACCCAACATCTGCTTCCACAAGTGTTCCTGATGAGGAGTTAAATAACTCGAAACACGAGTAGAATAATAGTGAAATTCGAATTGAAAAGAAATCTTTTACTTTCATTTAGACGTATTTTCGCTACATAAACAGTGAAAAATAGTATTTTTAAGGGTAAACTGTAGATGCATGTCTGAGTGAGAGGCTATTCCTAGCATTGCCACTGGGCATTTAACATAGATAAGAGGGTCATTTAATATCGGTCAAAATAGTTTATGCGGCACATTCTTGAAATTATTGTCGGTTGTAAATATTCGTAATATGTATTAGTCACTTCTGAGTAGCCAATAGACAATAAACAAAATTTAGTTGCGTCAAAAGCAAACACTTCTTGATAGAAAATGCCTAAACGTAAGCGTGTTAAACGTAAACTGCTAGAGGAAGGTGAATCTGTAACCGAGTTATCCAATGAGTACAAAGTTGGTAAATCTACCACTACGAATATAAAAAACAAAAGACAAGCATAAGTAACTATGTCCCAGCTTGATTCTTCTGATGGATCCACAAGTCGAAAAACTATAAAACTTCTTAAACACGAATTTAGATGACGCTGTATATAAGTGGTTTACTCTAAACAGATCCCAGGGAGAACCTATTCCTGGTCCGATTCTGTGTGAAAAAGAAGTTCAATTCAATGAAAAACTCGGAGGTTCGTCAAAATTTTAAGCAAGCACAGGCTGGTTAAAACTATCTGCTGATTCATCAGCAGCAGTGTCATTCAAAATAAGACTAAGTGAATTACCGAAGGAAGAAAATTACGCACTCGAAAACATTTACAATGCAAACGAAACTGGGCTCAATTTGAGAGCTTTGCCAAGAAAAACTCTTGCGTCACGGCGTGAATTAGCAGCACCTGGACCTAAAATAAGCAAGGATCGTATCACTGCCTTAGCTTGTGCTAATGCTACTGGCAGCCACCGATTGCCCATGCTTGTCATTGGTAAAAGCAAGAAACCACGTTTTAGACACGTTAATATGAATGCAATGCCTATAGTTTATACTTCGCAAAAGAGTCCTTGGATGAGTAGTACAATTTTCATGGAATGGTTTATAGGAACTTTACTCTCCGTTAGGAGAGTTAAGTGTTAGGAAATATACCCTCCGTTAAAGCCAATCCGTTCAAAAATGGTAAAAGGGAGAAAACATTCTTGCTTCTTGATAACGCCCTAACTCATCCATCATGTGACATCTTAAATGAAAAAGACTATTTTATAAAAGTCATGTTTCTTCCACCTAATGTGACTTCATTATTACAGCCCATGGATCAAGGTGTTATTGAAACTGTCAAACGGTGTTATAGCAAAGAACTGTTATGGAAGTTACTTTTGGAAAAAGAAGAGGAAGGAGAAGAAAGCCTGATAAGAAATCATGGAAAAATTGATTGGAAGAATGTGTCCTACAAGATGATAGATATTGCGACGATAGAAAACAATAGAAAAAGACAAAAATTGAAGATTTTTTAAGCGTTAGTAATTAACACTCAAAATATCTTCAATATTGTATCTAAAAATATGTTGTTGCAAATACTGCATTTTTTTGTTTAATTCCTATTTGTCACTAAAGATATAAATAAATATGTAGGTAATGTTTTTGTATATTTTCTTTTCGGGTCTTCAACACAGCATTGCCAATCTCCATGTTCAGTCACTATGTCCCATGCCAACCGAGGAAACCATAAAAAGATCTGTAAGGCTACAAAGTGCCTCAAAATGGCTTCTTCATTTAAGATGTACAGTAAATGGAAAAGCTAAGGGGCCTGCGCTGTCTTCGCTTGTAACAAACCTCTGCATGACCTATTGTTGGAAGGACTGAAAATATGGGTCAGATACCTGGGTGATGTACTGACAATCTGGTCACATGGAAAATCTGAATTCTTTAATTTCCCACCATACCTAAATGCCATCTAGAAGAGAATTTAATTCACACCGGAACTAGAGTCAAACCACCAACTTCCTTTCCTTGACGTCATAGTCACCACATGCAGAGATAATCTAGAGGAATGTAAAGGAGATCTAAAAAACAAGCAAAATTCATCATCCTTATTCCCACAAGAACATAACATAGTACATAAAATAGATCTCAGTTTTTTTAAACAGATCACAGCTGTAACACACTGCAAGACAAGAATGATAAGAGGAGCCAGAGCAGATCACACACATTCCCAAATTCATACAACTTTCTCTGGTATCTGGTTATACTCTTCGACCAAGAAATAGATCACTAGAAACAACAAAATGAATGCCATCGATGAGAAAAATTTATTTTGTTTTATTCAAATGCTCAATATATTAATAATGGCGAATGCTACAAACTATAGCGTCTACAAACCTTTGATGAAAAAAAGAGAATAAAATACTATAAATGTAATTAAAGTAAAAAATTAAATTATCAAAATATAAGTTAAAACACATTTTTTTAAAATACATACAAGTTAAATTCAAAACATATTTTTAACAAACAACAAAAAATTTTTTGTTCACTCAAGTATTTTTAACTAGCTATAAAGGTAGTTATTGTCCAAATATGATTCAAGATTTGTTATGAGACCAATTACAGAATTCTTAAATTTTGTAAAATTATTTTCCATCTTATATAATTTATTATTAAATTTTACACATTCATACATAGGAAACCTCTCTTTAATATAAAGTCTATGCACAGGCATTTTGTAATTAATATTGTGACTTCATGTATCAAAGTTATAATAATTTATGATGTTTATTTCAGGTATATTTTTTTTGACAATATATATTTACATGCCTGCTGTGTGCTTGAGATTCTGACACAACGAAAATATATTGTTAACTCAATGAAAAAGAAAGTTTTTTCCACTTTTTTTCAGAAGTAAATTGTTAAAATAGGTTCAAACTTTCTGAACATGTAAAAAGTTATAAGGACTCAAAGTTAGGCTAGACTTTGATTTGACTGGGAATCAGTCAATGGAGTAAATAATTAACAAATATAGTAAATTGTCCACTAATGTTCATCAGCCTTTCACTGAATTATAAGTTTTTCAGAAACTAAAATTTTAAAATAATAACCAAACTATTGGGAAATATGATAACAAAAAAAAAACACAAGAAAACTAAAAGTTTATTTAAAAAAAGGGCATAAAAAGTTCATAAAGTGAACTAGGATGAGTTAATCAATTGATCAATTAGAAATTATACACCTAGGTTTCATAAATTAAGAAATATAAAAAGACCATTGACAGTAGTCAGACAAAGTAGTTATCAAAATTACACCAATAAATTAACTATCAGTATGAAATTTTAAATAAACAACAAATGAGAACTGCTTTTCTCTTGCTTTAAAACTTGCTTATAACAAATTTATTAGTAATATTTGCATAGCAGATAACTGAAGAAAATTTTGGATAAGTTAAAGGTTCAATATGTAAATAATTATGGCCAAGTTCCTATTAACATTAAACACTATAACCAACCCAGGAAATACCTATGTTTGTATTGAATAATTATCAGTATTACTATAAAAGTCTAGATAAGGATATTTATTGCTTTTACATTCTTATAATGTTATAACATTCAGTGTTCAGTAGTGTACAAACCTGTCTAATTTCTGAAAGAGCATCTCGTATATCCCAACAAGCAGACTGTATAATCGCTAGGCTTATGTCAATTTTGGAATCATGAAATTTTGAATCACAATTAACTAAAAGAAAATTAATTTTGTTTAAAGGAACATTTGCTTATCAACAAACTTACTTCCTACTATTATTTCAGCTCCTTTATATAAACTTTTTGATAGATATAAACTACTAGCCCCCTAAAACAAATAAAAATGATAATGTGGCAAGAACACATAAAATATTTTTTCTTACCGCTGTTAAATTTTCGTTCCATTTGCCTTCATTTGGAAAAGCATTTACTGTGGCCATAAACAAAATAATAAAAATTAACGAAGAAATTGACTTCTTCAACATTTTGTAATTTTTTCTCAAAATTCCAATATTTTAAAAATAATTTACTATCACACATTAGAAACGTCTACTTCCCAATGTGTTGACATATGCCGACTGTCAGCACAATGCATCTGTCAGTGTCAATTTTCCAGTGTGTTTTAAGCTGGATTTATAGTTTGACGCACTGTAGACGTAGACGCACTGGAGACGTAACAAACGGTAACGGACTGTAAATATAATTTCAATTTATAAATTGACGGAGTAGAATTTTTGCGCATGAGTAGAAACAGCGGCTAGAGTAGGTGACCATGATATTATAATATCATTTTATTATTTATTATTATTATTTTATAAATTCTTAACGTCCATTGTAACAAATAATCAAAAAATTAAAATTCGAATATGTTGATAAGCAATTTTACAAAATTGTGCCAGACAAATTTAATTGGCCAGACGCAAGTAACGCACTGTAAAAGATGAAAGTTGACCAATTCTTCCGTTACAGTGCGTTTCGCTTACGTCCCGTCTTGCGTTTACGTTCATTTATAAATAGGAGTACACAAAAGTCATGGTACAAAGAATGTACCATGCACAAAAGTCTATGTTGATCTTTTTCCAGTGCGTCTGCGTCTACAGTCCGTCAAACTATAAATCCAGCTTTAGTGTCTACAACAGAGATATGTACCATGAAATTTATATGCAAAATATATATATATATATATATATATATATATATATATATATATATATATATATATATATATATATATATATATTATATAATAATATATTTATACAATATTATATTTATACATTATTTTGTATTTATAATTTTATATTATTTTTTTACATATTTAAAATTATTATTTATTATATTTTTTTATATGTAAGTATTTTGTATAACTGGGTTTTCTAGTAATGTAAAAATTTCTTGATCATTTTTTTATAAAATCAAAAATAAATTATAAACGTCAGCGGTAAACTAGTATATTTTTAATCTTGGAATATAAAATCACGGATTCAATGCTTCTTCTTCTTCTTCTTTGTGCAACTAGGATTACTCCTGCTTGTCTGCCTCTTATTCTGTTTCAGTTGTTGTTGACTGTACATTATCTTTCCACCTTTTTGGCAGCCTTCCAACTGGTCTTCTGCTATACGGCTTGATGTTTTTACATACGTTCGCTAATCTATCTGGTTCCATTCGGTTTACATGTTCATTCCAGTTTTTTTTCTTGTTTTTATCCATCTATTAATATTTTGAATTTTGCATTGTTCGCGCATACTTCTGTTGGTTTGTCTGTCTCTTAATGATATGCTCGCTTTTTATCTTTTGATATTGTTGATTTGTTGTTTCGTCTTTCTTGTATCGGTCCTTGTCTCCGATGCATATGTTAGAATTGGTCTTACTTACTGTTGTCTTGTATACTTTTATTTTGCTTTCCGTGTACTCTTATCGCTTTTGATCCTTGCCTTGTGGTCAATGCAAAAACTTAATTAACTTTATAAAACCAATCTTATTGATTAATTTATATATTTTTTGGAATCTAAAAAATATATTTATAAGAAACAAATAATTGGGTGTAACACTCGAAGACAGCATTTTTGGGTCATTCTTGTTTGATTTCTAATTTCTATCCCCAAACAAATTATATTTTTCGCAAGTTCAACAGATTGGTTTTGTAGAAAAAAGTAATTCTTTGTTGCATGCAAAAATTTATTTTTATTAATAAAACAATTTCCCCTATCACCCCCATTTTGACAAACACCTATCACTGTGAAACCTGTGAAATACTATAACAGTTGACGTTGACAATGTTGACATGAAACTCACTAGCTGTCAGACTAACTGTTTATGTTGATTGTTGATAAAATGAATGGGTGAATGGTTAGTAAAAGTAAAATAAAGGAGGAAGTAAAGTTTATGATTCCTTTAAAATAATTACCACATAAATCTTAGCAAGATCCTGCTGAAGATAAATAAATTACCATGAGTTTCATAATTAAATCCTTAAAATAAGTGAAAATCTGACATGTTAAAATCTTTCCCAAAAGTTTTTCAAAAGAAATGGTTACTCTGTTAAGTGAAATCCATTTCTGGACAACACAAGAAGATATCGTCCTTAAACCTACAGATTATGGTTCTTTCAAGTAAGATCTTTGTTATTAAAGAACTAGTAAATAAAGGGCCTACTTATTTATAAACTAAAGTGTTAAATTAAATTTGAACTTTTTATTTACTAACACCCATAGAGTAGTTGGTAAGTTGACTTCAATCAATTTAATGCACAAAATAAAAAATGGTAATATATACAAACACAAATCAATTTATTAAGATTACAACTTCCTGTATCAGTAAATTTAACTAGTACACATAGGCTTCATCTGGTGTTATTAAGAGTGATATGACCCATTTTCTTGGATTAAAAACTATAAGTAATGTTTAATTAAATTAATCCTAATAATAATAAAAACTTTTTTATCTTTAGATCAAATGGGTCAAATAAAAGGAGAAATTAGAAAAAAAATCATTGAATCAACATACTTGAATCTGACCCCAAAAAGACATTAGAAAACATTCAAAGTATACAATGTAGTACTTTAACACTTTTACTGCAGAATTTTAAGTATTATAGAATCATCCATTGTGCATCATGAATTTTTTGATAGCATATGCAATGCAGATTACACATCATGGCACCTTCCACACAGCTAAAACATTATATATATATATATATATATATATATATATATATATATATATATATATATATATATATAATTAATGTTTCTTGGGTTTAGGTTCAATAAGGATATATTACATATGGACTCAGTCAGTTCGTTAATGTCTGTGTCACGTTTTACGTTTTGAATCTTGACAAAGGCAAGGGTTTCCTGCCGAAACGTTAATTGATTGTTATGGAGAATAAAATCTAGTTCCACATGTAATATATCCTTATTGAACCTAAACCCAAGAAACATTAATTTTATATTGAATCAAGAAACTCAAAACTACTATATATATATATATATATATATATATATATATATATATATATATATATATATATATATGTAACTTAGAGCTAAGATTAATATTATTACTAAAATTATTATCAAACTCACCAGTCTTCCGGGTTGAACCGCGACTATATCCATTTTGCCGAGCTTTCGGCATCCTCTCTGATGCCTTCCTCAGGGTTCCGAGGTCTCAGTCTCCCGAGCCCCCAGACACTACCATACTGTTCACTCATCACTAAGCTGTCACTACTGTGACACTACTGTCACAAGTATTCCAATATTCCAATCATTGGGGAAAGATTCTTTTATAAGCTGCTGTAATGCCATTATGGTACCATGGCCACCTTCTTTATTTAGTTCAGCTGGGAGATTATCTATTCCAGGTGATTTGTTTCTGGCTAGTTTTTTAACTGCATCTTTAACTTCAAGAATAGTAGTTGGTGGTAATATGTAGATTGTATTTTGAAGTATCATAAGTTATAGTCATACTAATACTAATATTTACATGAATACTCTTATTGTAGTACACTGTTGAATTTTCGATATAAAACCCTTTGATTTGAACTAACTTTTACCCCCCTGATCCATTTAATTTTTTTCATAGTGATGACATCAAAATGCCCTTTTTTTAGAAACCCTCTATTGTAAACCTACTGTACTACACACAGTACAGACAGTACATACGTAGACAGTTTAATAATTGTACATATTCCATTACTTCACAATACCCTACGATACCAGCTTATACATAGAAGATGGGTACCTGTACCATATGTTTTGTAGTCACTCAGTATTCTCTTAAAAGTGTTTGCCGCCTGCGATTTAATAAAACACAGTCATGCAAGATATTGTTGAGTGTTTCAAGTCCTCTGCTACAGCTTAAGTCTCCATGAAACAGTTCCATTATATGCAAGTGACCCTTTAGTGACTCTGAGCTGATTCCTGCTTGTTTTCTGCAGTGCTTTAGTCTCCTAATATCACATATCCGTCCAATATACATTTTGCTATGTGTCTGACCAAGTATATTCTCCTAGCAAGAGTTATGTTGGTTTTGGATCAAGGCTTTTGTCTGCTTGCAGGCTCCGCTGCTTAAGTATCTGTGCATTACACACACAGCGTCACAACGCCTGTGCAGATGTCACAAACTTCTACTTCTTTGATTACAGACTGTTGGATATACATTGGAAAACGCATGTATATAAAGACAACTCTTTGATTTAGATATCTCCTCTTTATTCTATGTTACTCTATATTGCTGTGTTAACTTTTATATGTATATAATTTCTTAATTCAAATAACATGTATGTTGTGTGCACTTTTTAGATATTATACAAAAAGGGATGGCACCGAAACTCTCAATGGCCAAAGTAAAAAACAATACTGTGATCAGCGTGGGCTCCATTGGTATCTTCCCAATAAACGTCCGCATAGACTAAAGGACAAACTAAAAGAATTAGAGGATTATCTGATACATAATCGTGTTGTTTGTTTCATTTTTGAAGATAGCAAAATTTTATTATTACTTTCAACTGGACTTTTAGTTACTTTGACATTAAATAATAAAACGGGAGATTTGACCAATATACTATTTGACAAGCAATTAGCTTCAAAACTTCAAGCAAACATTATTTGTGATGGTAAGTACCACATTTTTATTTCATTCCGCAAAAATATATCACTTTTATTGCTGTTCACAGTACTGCAGTGGTGACTTGTAGGATTTTTATTTATAATAGAGAGGAATTTTTTTTTGTGTAAACAGTCATACTATTTTTTGGTCCTTCACCTGATTCTTTGCTGGTGGCCTTTGTTCCATCTCTGATTGTAGATGCAAAATTTAAACTAGGCTGGCAAAGTTTGCAGTCAGCCTTATAGTCACCTTTTTGTAGATAATATCAGGTTGTTGAGGTCTGAGAGTTCTACCGAATATGAGAATGATGTTGATCAGGTTTTTCACATCATCAGGACGATAAGTCATAAACATCTCAGTGAAAGAAATATTGATTGAACTTAAATTCAGCAATCTATAGTTTAGACAAAGATAAAGACACACGTGTCTGATTGCTGAACTTAACTTTTTCTTTGCCATTGTATGCAGATTCACTGTTTTGTTCAGAATCTTCTCTTTTATGACTAGCAAGCTTTCTACAGAAAGAGAAATTTTTGCATAACTTTGGGAAAGAATTACTACTCCTATACCGGCTTAGAGAACTTTTTGAATGCATTGTCTTCCACATTTGAGTGGAAGCCTTGCTGTAAGAGGTACTTAAACCCCTTTTCCCCCACTGTTCCATAGTTTATGGATGATTAAGTTTGCATTGTTATCCTTCCTTGTTTGTGTGTAAAGTTTTTATTTTCCTGGTCTATTCTTTTTTCATGAGAAGCTAGGAAATGGATACCCACTCAGGATAGAACCCCACATCACCCCCTTAAACATATTGAAGTGTGTAACATAGTGTCTCGCTCTAGTTCTTGCCTATATGTAGTTCTTTTTTACTTGACTAAGCTCCATATCGGTAAGGTCTTATATTAAATAAATAACTTAGATATTATTTTATATGGGATTAAAACCCAATTGATTGTAATGAGAATTATATTTTATATTTGTTTCTACGATCATTCATAATTTTTATTTCAGAATTTTTTGAAAACGGTTTTTGGATTTCAAAGCAAATGTAATAATTTCTCATTACAATAAATTGTGGTGTAAACAGAAAAAAACAGTTTCTGAATTTTTTTACATAAATATCTTTTTTATTAATTTCTTTCTTTTAGGAACAATTTTTGGGAATCAAGTAATATGTATTTGTAACGATGGCCATTTATTGGGATATGGAGGGCCTTGGAAGGAGGGATGGGTGTTAGAAGGTGGACCTAGAAGGAGACTAAACTATTACGGTGAATGGCTCGTGGTATGGGGTAAAGCAGGAGCAGAACATCCCCAGCCATGGAGTCCTTTGGCAAAAGACCACCAAAGAGCAAATTTACACTTATATTGGATTGGCGCCAGAGATCCTGAGTTATTATCTTATAAAAAGACTGATGGGGAACCCTTAGAAGTGATTGTCAGTAAATTTAGAAGTAGGACTTTAATTCTGATAGAACAGAAAGTAACTCAAAGAGGTACATATTTTTTAATTTATGTCGTAATTTGTAGTTTATTTAAATTTATTTAAAAACTAGCTACACTTCGCACATGTATGCAAAAGTTATTATCAGATTTGTGACAATCAAGGTGTTGGTTCATCAAAAAGAAGAGTAGATGCTTCTGTTTCAACAAAGTATAATTTTTTTAACATATCGACCGTTAAGTACCAATACCTTCTATCTAACGACAAGTAAATTTTACAGGAGAAGCAAAAAACTTATTTAATTTTGCTCTGCCAATCAGAATAATTTAATATATGGACTTTCTACTTTTTTATGTATAAGATTATCGTACCTCACATATTTGATTTTGAAAGAGCTTTTGAAAAAGACAGTTTGTCAGTTAGGAGGTATTGTTTTTCTCTGTTACTTGAAATATATGTGTTTAATGGAAGATAGGAGGTCTTAAATGTAATTAAAAAATGAATTAAACTCAAAAAACTTTATTATTATTATTAATGATATCAACACATTAAGACTTCTGAGATAGTGAGTCATAGAATGTATGACAGTCTTGCGGTAACACAGTTTTCAATTGTTGTAAATGAGAGTACTTCGTAGAACTAATAGGTAGCACTTTGTCATGCAAGGGAGTATAAATCGGTTCAGGAATAATTTTAGGTCTTATGGGCAACTCACTCCACTCATCATCAAAGTTTCGTTTATATTGTATTTTTCCATCTATGGTATACAGTAAAGCCCTCAGATCTGTTACAACAGGATCTCCTACTTTACGACCTGGCCTAATGGAAGTGTATCGCCATGTGTCCTCATTTGCGTAATTTTTAAAAAATTGATAGTCAACCAATTTCACTTCATACGGAAATGGCTTACTTCTTGCTTCCTTAGTAGCAGAAGCATAATCGCTTGGAAGATGAATCTCACGATGCTTCAATTTAGTCTCGACAGCGCTGTGGACCGAGTCACACTCCATTTGAGTGTGACCCGGTTCTAAAAACTTTTGGGTTATAACTATCTGATATTTTACAGAAAAGGCAGATAATGCGTTAGACAAAATGTTATTCCGATTTTGGTATGTGCAGCCATCTGAAAATATTACTATAGGTAACCTGTTGGCGAGACAGTGTTGTGACAAGTAATCTAAAAGGAAGTTAACAAATGTGCTTGCTGTCAAGTCACTGGCAGTTTCGTCAAACCAATAGCATGTTGCATGATGAGTGACCAAATTGTAGACCGTATAGTTGTGACAAGTTAACTTCGTTTTGAAGTAGAGGGCACTTGCAGTCAGATAAGGACACACTTTGACAGCTTGAAGATCCATTGTAAGAAGATTAAATTCACCAGCTTGTGCTTTTTCCTTGTCATGTTCTTTCTCGGCTCTTGCTCTTGATTTACGTTGAATATGATCTTTATATTTTTCGTCTGAAATATTTCCTTCTTTATAACTGACACAGATGTCACACATATCCTTTTTTAAGGTATAAATAGAAAGATTTGAATCTTTAAATATCTTGTCAAAAGTATGTCTGCTTGCACTCTCTTCGTTATTATTTGAGCACCATATTTTATAGCAATTATAGAGTTCTGTTTTATTTCGGTAATATGGCTCGATGAATAATTTTCTCGAATTTTTTCTATTATAATGAGAGGGAAGTGTTGGGATATTTTTAAAAAATTCACGTAGCATCTGGATTCTTGTCGCCGTTCCTCTTGGCACAACTCGTTTTCGATTGCTATTGGTGACTTCATTACATGGAAGTGTTTTATGAACTGACTTCTTGACCCAAGATTGTACAGTAAAAGAACCTAGGGAAAATGTATTTAAAAAGGATGTCTTGCAAACTCGCAAATTACCCTCAGCTGTAGGCAAAAAATACTGGAAAGTACCTTCCCGTCTTGTCTCACACCCTACAGTTTTTCTAGCAGTAGTTTGTCGGGAGACTAATCCATTTATATAAATCTTCCTTTGTTCCCAATTTAAGTTTGTCCAAAAATTATTAAATATATCTTGTCGCATCTCCACGGTCAGTTTTTCACAATTCCTGACTTTACTTGTTGTACATTTTTTAGACTTGCATGCTTCACCCAGTTTGCGAGCGCTTCGGGGAGTATTGTGTAACATTTTTCCCTCTTTCGGATTTGTATAACCTAAGTAATCTTTGCCAAGCATTCTTAACTGTTTGTTACGATTTTTTTTCCAAGTCTTACTATCTGGTTTAATTTTTCTTTTTCGTTCTTCATTGATTTCTCCGAAATAAACCTGTCTTGGCACCAGCTCAGAATCCGGCACACTATTTTCTTCAGACACCCTATCTTCGCTCTCAGTCTCCGATGAATCAGACTCTGGGTTATAGGAACTTTCACTGGGTGAAAAATCGTGAGCTGAAGATGTACTTGGAGTCGATGCTCTCTCTGTAATTACATTTTCAGTATGAAGTTCCTCGTTTAACTGTTGGAAGTGGGAGTCTTCTAAATTGTTGGAGGAAAACACATTTTGATAGGAACGATTACTTTCTTGATTGTCAGACAAGGCAAGACTACCAACTTGTTGGCTTGTACTAATAGGAGGAGTAATATTTTCATTTGTCTCCGGAATGTAGGAACTTCCATCTGGTAACAGTACACTGTGGATCAATGTCGTAGTTTCATGAATTAAGTTTACACAGTGTTCGTCTTGGCTCAGATTTTTAGATTGTGATCTTGTGGGCTCTAAACCTTCAGAAATAATAACGCTAGTAGTAGACTCACTTGTGCAGCCATAAGGAATGTTTTCATCAAGTTTCAAAGCCAATCCTAATATTTCAGCTGCCCGTGTTTTCCTACGTCGATCTTGATTGATATTCATCTGTAAAAAAATTTGCATTTAGGTACTACTTTGAGATTTTACTTGAAAATTCAATGCTTTAAACATTGCTTGTTACGTAAATATAACTATTAGGGGATCGAAAATAATCTTTATTATAATTTATCATATAAAAGCAAAATGTTTTGTTTCCAATGTTAGTTAAAACGTACTTTAATATTAATAGCTGCATTTTTCTGTTCTTAAACAGCTTTTCATTATGACAAAATATCCAATATGCCCGTTTTTTGCGCCGCCTATGTACTACGAACACCTTAAGTAATTTTAATTATTTTTGTGGAAAGATCTGCTATCTACATTTCAATTTACTAAAACTCCCTTTGGTGGTTGTGTGTACATTTTTAACTATAACTGTATTATAAGCCTTGAATATGTAACTATCATCTTAACTTAAAATTAATTTATAAGAACTTTAACACACAAAAACATGAGTTAAATTGAGGTTAGGTATTTATTTTTTGTACAAAGTCTTACTTAGGCTGTTAATTTTAGTTGTAAAACACTCCTTACCTTTTGATAACACCAGACACACACGTAAATACAATATTGTACGGCAGAAGAACTAAATAAGATACAAAAAACGAATAATACCGGGAAACTGTTGATAGGCGGTACAACTAACAAACAACAACCACAAATGAGTAGATAGAAGGTATTTCTGCTATTCAGTTAGAAGGTATTTCCAGCATAAAAAACGCTGATTAAGGTAGGATATATTTCCATGATGTTATTTTAAATACTTTGAGAATAGATACAGTTAGGATATTTTGTTAGAAGATGCGTAACAAGCTTTGCAGTTAGATGGTGCGATAAACTCATTTTTGAAAAAAATGTTAGATAGGAGGTATTGGTACTTAACGGTCGATATGTTTCCATGATACTATGATGGGAAGATAAGATATTGCTCATAAATCGTGACGTCATTGGAGAGTTGCACGTTCGAAATGTCAGTTTTTTGTATGTGTCAATAAATAATTTTTAATAAATAGTTTGGAGATATCCTTATGTGTACGATTATTGTAATTATTGAACCTCTTAACTTATTTTCGTCTAGTAATTTCATCACAGAATGCATACAAATCTCATTTAACTTTAACAAAAATTCAAATTCTACTCTCCAATGACCGCACGCGCGAACACCACCGATTTTGTGCTACGGGAAGATCCTATCTTGTTAATTATAGTATCATGTATGTTTCTTTCAGTATCCATGTCTTGTTTGCATAGTATGTCCGATCTCCAATAAGTACACATTACTTGATCTGGCTACAGATAAACATTTTTTATTTTCATCTTCATGTTGCCTTTGATTAAATCTCTCTGAGACCAGGTATACAAAATTCCACCTTCCTCGCAGTACCTCGTCTAGGAGAGTGTAAAAGTTAGCTCTGTCTATGATCACGGCATTGATGTTATTAAATTGAGCCTTAGGTCAAGTTTACTATTAATAAATTATGAATCGTAGCGGAAGAGTAAGGAAATGTAAGAGTTCACGAACACCAGAAAAACCCATTCAATATATGAATCTAGAAATAAGATTACGATGAGAATTAAAAATATAAAAGAAGAATATTGTCAACGTTTCACGAACAAAATCAAAACAGTGATGGATTCCACCGTTACTTGATAGAAGTTGAGTTTATCTATTCTTCTTCTTCTTCAGCCTTTGGGGGAGGCCTATGTCCAAAGTAACCCAACATAGGCCTCCCCCAAATTAATCCAGTGTTTTCTATTTTGCGCCACTTGCTTCCAGTTGTGTCCTCCGATCTTCTTAATGTCATCAGCCCATCATTTGTGGTCTTCCTCTGCTTCTCTTTCCTAACCATGGTCTCAATTGTTGTATTTCGTAGTTCCATCCAATCCAATATTTAGGCCACATTACCAGAGGTGCGAAATATGAGATATTAAGGCTCATAATGCAAGGTAAAATCAGAGGTAAAAGATCCATAGGAAGACGAAGAATTTCCTGGCTGAGAAACCTAAGAGAGTAGTATGGTTGCAGCTTAGTAGATCTTTTCAGAGCAGCCGCCAGTAAGGTACGGATAGCTGTGATGATGGCCAACCTCCGATAGGAGAAGGAACTACAAGAAGAAGAAGAAGTAGTTCCATCTTTTATCCTTTAGTCGGGCATTGTCTATAAGTGTCACCCCGAGCATTGATCTTTCCATCGCTCTTTGTGCTTTTACTATTTTATCCATGTTAGACTTGGTGAGTGTCCACGTTTGTGAACCATACGTGAGTATAAGGAGGATACACTGATCTTAAATTCTGATTTTCAAATATTGTTCTATTTTAGTGCTTTTCAAGATCCAACTCAGTTTTCCAAATCCTGCCCATGCCAACCTTATTCTTCTGGTAATTTCGGCAGTTTGATTTTCTTTGTTAACTTTCATGATTTGTCCCAGGTATATGTATTCGCTTACTGTTTCTAAATTTATGTCGTTCAACGTTATTTCTCTAGTTTTCAGTGTATTTGTCATTATTTTTGTTTTTTCCAATTTTATCTTAAGACCTACTTTTTCCGAAGCTTGAAATAGTTGCGTAATCATGGTCTGTAGTTCTTCGAAACTTGTAGCGAATATTACAATGTCATCAGTGTATCTCAAATAACTCAGTTTTCTTCCATTAACTACCATTCCTTTATCTACCGAGTTAATGTCTTTGAATACGTCTTCCAGTCCAAGTGTGAATAACTTTGGTGAGATAACATCTCCCTGGCGAACTCCTCTGTTGATTGGTATAGCTTTGTAGATTGGTATAGCTTTAGATTTTCCCATCTATTTGTATTTTCATTGTAGCTTTCTTGTAAATATTATCTATGAGCATTCTGTATCGGAAGTCTATACTGCAGTTGTTCATAGCTCTCTCTATTACCCAAAGTGCTATGGAGTTTAATGCCTTTTCATAATCAACGAAGCCAATGTATAAGTTCAAGTGATATTTATTGACTTTCTCTATTAGCGCTCTGACTGTAAGAAGATGGTCCGCTGTACTGTAACTCTTTGGGAATCCTGCCTGCTCTACCGGTTGATAGCTATCGAGCTTCGAAAACTTGATGGCAAAACACTATGGGACAGAGCTAGAAGTACAGATATACGACGTGGAGAACATCAAGAACTGGGTAAGAAATAGAAGAGTAGAATGAAACGATCATATAAGCAGAATGACAACAAATAGAGTAGGCGGCGAAGATGGCTAGAGACGGTTCCCAAATAGGAAGACGATCAGTAGGAAGACCACGAAAACGATGGAACGCCAACTTACTGGAAGCACATTGAAAAACAGAGTCATGTCTATATAAAAAGAAGAAGAAGAAGAAAGAAAAATTTATCGAATATAACAAACCACTCTTTTACACATCCTGCTAGATCTGAGAAATGCATTCAATATAGTTCAATTGAAAGACTTTCTGGCTATATTAACGGAAAAACAAATACCCACATCAATTATTAAAATAATATACCGTTTAAACAACAGTAACGTTAAAATAATAAGAATATTACATCCAGAGCCAAATTGAACAGTATACAGGAGAGAGAGTCTCCCTGGCGCAGTCCGATATTTATTTTACAAGGTTCAGACAGATCCCCTGAATTTGTACTCATTAAACTTTAGTTTCAAGGGATAGTTTTATTAAACTTACTAACTGATTTTGTAGCCCTAGGTCTTCCATTGCTCTGAACATTTGTCTTCTATTTAGAAAGTCATAGGCTACCTTGTAGTCTATAAATGTATGGTAAGTATCCATGCCATATTCTAGTGTTTTTTCTAAAATTTGTCTCTGGGTTGCAATCTGATGAATTGCCGATTCACTTCCTCTACGATAAATCACTAAATCAGAGTTGGGAGTGTCTCTGGTCATAAAACCTTCGCTTTTTGGTTGAATGGGATAAGCAAGGTAATTACAGAATATCGGAGTTGATATCTGCGGTCAGGTAATCAGACGGGGCGGTTTTCACAGAATTGGCACGTGTTCTACGCAGGTAAAGAGGATGGTCGGGATTGCAGACAGACGCCAACAATCACACAAGTTAATTTCAGCAACTAAAGACAAAATACGTGTCACATTGAGCGATAGGCAATCTTAATCACAACGGCAGGATGTTGTGGTAATAGGACAATAACAGTATTTTGTAGTAGCAGAAACAATAACAAGACGTCAGAGTCTATAATAATAGATAATTTAAATTAGTTAAAAAGTTAAATCAGTTAAAAAAACAAGATATATAAGATGAGTAAATAAACTTGAGATATTTCATTAGAGCTAAAATTTTCATCTAAAAAGGGGGAATTTCGATACTCATGCAAGATTGGCCCTGATTATGGGTTACGCGCAGGGAGCCTTTTCGAGTCAACAGGACTTTCTCTTTTTAGAAACTCGATATTTGGGTAGAGAAAGCACAGCAGTATGTAACGTGAATGGCTTTAGAAAATGTGTGATTCCTAAATTGACAAAAGGCAAATAATTCATTGAATCAATTCTTAGAAGATGAGGGTCTTAAAGATACAATGCAATGCCACTTACTGAGTAAGTAAGAAATCGAAGCCTGACGCGTTTCTTGGATTTTTTAACCATGGGCATAGCAAAATAATGGAAGGAACTAATTGGGAGATACCATTGAACATGCTTCAACATATATTGATATCTCACGCTCACATTGTTTTATTTAAATTCAAAAATAAGAAGCGCTTAATAAATTTTTTTATATATTATAATTAATTTTTTTAGGTGCTGTATCTGTAGAAGTAAGCAATTTTGAGTTAGTGGGAGTCAATCTCAAACGAATCTCAGTAACATCTGTACCCCTCCAGACCCAAGTGAGCTGTTCTGCTCTAAGTAAATGTGAGGACAGACTGTTAATATGTTGTATAGATGGTTCCCTAGCGTTATTAGATCGCAGTAGAGGCTGTACGAGAACTATTAAAGCTAATTTTATTCCAACTTTGTTAGCTTGGCATCCTGCTGGAGCTGCAGTTGCTATTGCCAACGATAAAGGACAGTTGCAATATTATGATACTGCTTTGTCTTGTATAAAAAGTCAATTTTTAAATGAAGATTGTTTACCAACAGCAGTTGTTAATTTGTCCACTTGCTTTAACTTACAATTTAGTATAGCTTCCATAAATTGGGGCCCCAAGGATCTGATTGTTACTTTTGAACAGGGACCACTTGCTGTAGTTACACATATTAATCAATCTGTAACATTCAAATCTCTCATTCAAAATTATTTAAATTTGGGTAAGATTGATAAAGCAATTAAGTTATTGCTCTCTTGGGAATTTCGAGAGGAAAGTTTTTTTGCTTTGCAGAAGATTGTTGCTCACTTGATGAGGCAACCGTTGAATGAAGAAGTTTCCCAACACGTGCAGATTGCTTTAGGAAGTTATCATAATAGCCCAGTTCCTATCAGGCCTCAAATTCGACATAAGTATGGAAATCAGGTAAGATAAAATGACCTAACTACAGATTTATTTGATAAAGTGCTCCAATTCATGAGCTCTCGCTTATGGGGTAAATACCTGCTATTCTAAGACTCAAATTAAACACAGTACATATTTTCTACGTATACTTTGCCTTGAGCATGCTTCTCAATATTTCGAAATATTTACGTAGGGTTCCACCAACGTGATATAAGTAAAATCTTATGTAAGTTTTACTTCTTCTTCGCGTGCCATATCAGAACTATCTAACGTTGGCGATCACCATTGCGACGGCTTCTCGATCTTCTGCAATATGGAATAATTGTCCTGCATTTGGTATCTGAGTCCATTCACGAATGTTTTTTAACCAAGAAAGTTTTCTTCCTACACCTCTACGGCCCTCTAGTCTTTGCCTAGTCAAAGACTAAGATTTGCTTAGTCAAAGAAATTTCTTAGTTGAAATTTGGGTTCCACGATATAAGTTTTTACTTAATTTAAACAAGAAAAAACTTAAATTATTAAAGATACCAACTTTGCAAAATTGTCCAAATATCTTATCCTGTTAGCTCGTTATTAATGAAGGAACAATAAAAAAAGAAGATCATTTGTGTCATTTTTGATGCTGTCTGTAATTTGATTTCAATATTTATTGAAAATACAAATAAAAATACAAAAGCATCTACGTATATTGTATATACACTATAAACCATTATATACTAAAACCTACTTTATAGTATAGATTACGGTAGAAATTTAAACTCAATTATGTGTCAATATATGACAGAAGATATTGTTCTGAAGCTATTTTCTTGTGGCATTTTAAATTAATTACTATTTAACTGGGAATAAGCCACAATTAAAGATAAAAATACGTTTATTGACGTTTCAATTTCCACTTAGGAAATCGTTCTCAAAATACAAACAGTAAATTAAACCAACTTTGTTTTTTGTTATATAGTGAAAAATTCTTCTAATAATTTAATTTTATCTGACTCATTTATATTAACAATTCAGACATACATTATGCATTTTAAAGTAGACGACTTTAAAATGATATTGCCAATATTGTTGAGTTGCGCTCCTGGGACGACTACTTATAAGATAGTTCATTAGATTACATGAAATCAACTTTAACTTGAGAATATCCGTCTGAAAAAAATGATAGCATGTAATTCTCCTTTAAAAAGACAAACACATGACATGATGACAGTAACATTCTCCTGTTAGTGATTCCATAGTAAATTATGAGGGAAAAACCAAGAAAAAAAAACCTCATAATACTATCCTGACATGGTAAGTATTTGTTTGTGCATATAGTTTACCTTCAATAAACACCAAAATTCTGATTTTATATGTTTCGTTATTTAAAAAACTTAAATGATGTATCCTCTATATGTTACTGACACACTAGTACTGGTATTTTCTTATTAATAACTTCCTTTTTCAATATTGGTAACCAGATCCTACTACATTCTGCCGAGGAATTTGCGAAATCATTGACATTATATTAATCTTATTAATAACTTCCTCTTTCAATATTGGTAACCAGGATCTGGTAGGATCTACTACATTCTGCCGAGGAATTTGCGACACAATTGGTTTCATTTAGCATAATTAGAGCCGCTTCTTTGATTTTTCTTTTTTTACCATCCGTTTCTTTTAGGACTACATTTAAATTATTCCATTGAACCCTATGTTCATTATCACATGCGTGTTTACATATTTGACATCTATCAAATTCTCTATTTTTAATATAAGATTGATGTTCACTTATTCTAACATTTAATGGCCTTGATGTTTCACCTAAATAAAACTGATCGCATTCACAAGGTATTTTATAAATGCAATTCTTTGTCCTTTCTTGTTCATTGTTAGGTTTGGTTTTGGACAAAATAGATCTGTAAATATCTATTGGTGTGTGTTGGTTTTTTATACACCTGAGTCTCATATCCAGTATCGTTCTTAGAGATTAAAACATCCAGGAAAGGTAGCGTGTTATTATATTTCTTTTCGATGGTAAATGTTATTGTGTCTTCTTGATCGTTTATATCGTTTAGGAATGTGTCCAACAACTCTGATCCATGAGGCCATATTGAGAATACAATATTATTATTGTATTCTCAATATGGCCTCATGGATCAGAGTTGTTGGACACATTCCTAAACGATATAAACGATAAAAAAATAGATCTCAACGTGTTTTGTTGTTTTGAATGTTGTTAAAATGTTGAATTTATTTCCTATCTTTTTAAAATATAAAAGGATTATCAGAAAAACTTAAAAGGATAGGAAATAAATTCAACATTTCAACAACATTCAAAACAACAAACACGTTGAGATCTATTTTGTCCAAAACCAAACCTAACAATGAACAAGAAAGGACAAAGAATTGCATTTATAAAATACCTTGTGAATGCGATCAGTTTTATTTAGGTGAAACATCAAGGCCATTAAATGTTAGAATAAGTGAACATCAATCTTATATTAAAAATAGAGAATTTGATAGATCTCAAATATATAAACACGCATGGGATAATGAACATAGGGTTCAATGGAATAATTCAAACGTAGTCCTAAAAGAAACGGATGGTAAAAAAAGAAAAATCAAAGAAGCGGCTCTAATTATGCTAAATGAAACCAATTGTGTCGCAAATTCCTCGGCAGAATGTAGTAGATCCTACCAGATCCTGGTTACCAATATTGAAAGAGGAAGTTATTAATAAGAAAATACCAGTATTTGTAAGTCAGTAACATATAGAGGATACATCATTTATGTTTTTTAAATAACGAAACATATAAAATCAGAATTTTGGTGTTTATTGAAGGTAAACTAAATGCACGAACAAATACTTACCATGTCGGGATAGTATTATGAGGTTTTTTTTCCTGGTTTTTCCCTCATAATTTACTATGGAATCACTAACAGGAGAATTTTACTGTCATCATGTCATGTGTTTGTCTTTTTAAAGACGAATTACATGCTATGATTTTTTTCTGACGGATATTCTCAAGTTAAAGTTGATTTCATGTAATCGAATGAACTATCTTATAAGTAAAGTCGTCCCAGGAGCGTAACTCAACAATATTGGCAATATCATTTTAAAGTCATCTACTTTAAAATGCATAGTGTATGTCTGAATTGTCAATATAAAGGAGTCAGATAAAATTAAATTATTAGAAGAATTTTTCACTATGTAACAGAAAACAAAATTTGTTTAATTTACTGTTTGTATTTTGAGAACGATTTCCGAAGTGGAAATTGAAACGTCAATAAACGTATTTTTATCTTTAATTGTGGCTTATTCCCAGTTAAATAGTAATTAATGACAGAAGATTAATTTAAATGCATGCTCTAAGTTAAAATTTTTGCTAGGTGACTTGAGCGGTGAGCATGAGAAAAAATATTTGTACATAAATAAAGATTTTTGGTTGGTGGAACTAAACTCAACGGACTTAAGTAAAAATTGTTTCTTAAGATCAAATTTTCACTTAAATCACATTGGTGGAAGTGGACGTTACAGATAACATACAATAAAGTCCATATCCGAAGAATGACGTTGTTTTCAGTTACATCGCCTTAATTTCTCACGTTGCTAAGATCTCAGAGATGATCTACCATTAGAGAAATATATAAACTACAACATTCCAGATACCTTCAAGTTAAATCATACACGCTGACAGCGTTACATTTCTCCTAGAACCCAAATCTTTGCCAAAACATTTGAACAGTTTAAAAATTGACCCGTCAAATTATTGAAATATTTTTCATATAAAATGAGATCTCGTCTATCTGATTGTATATTTTTTGAACAGTCAGAAGAAGGTTTTTGTCAATTTTTAAGTGATTAAATAATTAAATTTTCTCCTTTTGTCGGAACAAAAATATTTTTTTCTAAAAAGTAAACGTCTTATTTTACTGGCCTGTAAAAAATCATTAAAACATGAGTCCTTTCTACAATTCTGGTACTTTATTGTGCGGTACATTTCTCCTACTTTTGACCATCCTTTCCTCTGGGATTGACTACCACTATCATCCATAGGGTTGCAAAAGTTTCCAGCGTTCACCGTCTTGAAATAAACTTCCGATAAGACGGTTGGAATACAGTTTATTCATCTGTATCCTTAGAAATATATAGATTGCATTCCCTGATAAAGAGAAAACTGGATGAACCTACAATGACGACTAGTACCTCTACACATTATCGTAGAAACGTAACCTCGTTGAACTTCGCCAGTAGTGTGAAGGCTACTTAAATCTGACGATCGAATATCGTCTGCTCATAGGTGAGGTTATTCGTGAACAGGTCCGGCGAAAAGAGCGTCAAGTTTAGATTCCCTCCTAATTAAGCAGCAAACATTCATGCGACAACAAACTCTGTGTACGGGACAAATAAATAATATTTTCGCGATCAGAAGAGTAATTAATCGGTTAGGTATACATCTCACAAAATAGATTTATACTCTAAGAATGGAGAATTTAATATAAACGAAGTTTTATAATTGCAAGGTTAGGTATTTTTGAAATCGCATTAAATACTTTTTGAAACAACAAAGTCTCACTGAAATAGTGTCAAAGAAATTATATGAGCGATAAAAAAGAAAGTCACATGAGCCATATATAAGAAAAAAAGTAAAATATTAAAATGTGGAGAAAAACATGTCTTGATCTGCGGTAAAAACCGATTTGGCACGATTGTCCTAGGATAATATATAAAATTCAAACCACATACCTTTCTGATGGTTATTATTCCTGTGTATTCGCGTATTTTTTCAAGTTGAAAGAATGTTTCTCATAAATAAACCGTTCTGCGTTTATGTTTCTATCTATCTAATCAGCCTTAAACGCCCACTCTTGGGCATAGGCCTCCCCTGCTAATCTCCATTGGTCTCTATTTTGGGCGATCTGCATCCAGTCCTTTCCTGCCGTTCTCTTAAGATCGTCAGTCCATCTCATCTGTGGTCTTCCTCTTTTTCTTTTCTTTTCCCATGGTCTCCAGTGTAGAATTCGCTTATTCCATCTTTTATCTTTTTGCCGGAGAGTGTGACCGGTGAAGTTCCATTTAAGTTTTGCAACCTGTCTTGATACATCGTTCACCTTTGTTTTTTCTCTGATCCATGAGTTTCTTCTGGTAAAATGCACTGGTTGAATACTTTCGTTCGCATATATTGAGGGAACTTTTTATTTTTTAGAGTATATGATAGTTTACCAAATGAGGCCCATGCTAGTCTAGTTCTTCTTTTTATTTCTTCTGTTTGATTGTCCCTGTTCAGCTTTATTATCTGTCCTAGGTATATGTATTCTGTCACCTGCTCTAATTTATTCTGTTTGACTACTATTTCTAATTGGTCTTCTTGGTTTTTCATAGTCTTGGTTTTACTATAGTTCATCTCTAGACCTACCTCTTTCGCTTTTCTATCTAGTTCCTCAACCATCTTCTGTAACTCTTCCTTCTTATCTGTTATCAAGAGTATATCGTCTGCATATCTCAAGTGGTTCAAGAGCCCTCCATTTATTCTTATTCCGTATGTATCCCATTCTAATTTTTTAAATATGTCTTCCATAGCCTGATTGAACAATTTTGGCGATATTGTGTCTCACTGCCTGGTTCCTCTTTCGAATTTTATTGGTTCTGTAGCGTGTTCGTTCGTCAATTTTATTGTGGTACTCGCATTTTTGCATATTTTTGTTATTAGCTCCGTGTACCTGTAATCAATTCTGCCGTTCTGTAGTGAGTTTTTGATGGCCCAATGTTCTATGCTGTCAAACGTTTAATATACATAATTCAGTATAAAATCGACAAATTGTGCTGATTGGAGAAATTTGTTTTATTTTTAGTAACATTCACCACTTGCCATTAAAAATTTTATTTCGCGTACAGACTAGAACTATGTACCAACATTTATATTACGCTGTACATTCACTTAATGTGTCTAATTCTACAAATCATAAATTTTTATGTTTATTAGTTACTATTATGAGTATTTTCCAGGTAATATCTTTAACGAGGCGCTTCTTTCATCAATTGGTACGATCAGAAATGTTCGAAACGGCATTTCTCTTGGCAGTTGATGTTGGTCATCATGACTTATTCATGGATCTTCATTACATCGCTGTAAAAGTTGGTGAAACTGAGATGGCAGCCGCAGCTAGGGCACAAGCTTCAGCGCTGTTAAGTAGATGTTCTAGCGAGGGTAAGAGATATTTTAATCTAGAAATAGTAGAAATTTAGAAAATTAAAAAATATATGAAGAAATTGGTAAAAAATTATTTTATTCCAGCAAAATTTTGCTACAAATACATAACGAAATAAAATAAATATTAAACTTAATAAAAATAAATTTATTGTATCTTGTAACTATCTAAAATCTAAACTGTACTTACATGCCGATACAAGTAATGTAGATATATTACATATTATGCGACAAAAATAAGCCAAGAGCTTCACTTAGAGGAAATTAATCAGAAAAGCTAAAGAAATAATACTGAGCACTGAAAACACTTACAACTGATCCAGAAGACAACAAACTCAACAATGCCTGTATATATTAAAATAAAAGCTCTCCGTTTATTCAGGCCGCCTGAAGAGATACAAAGTTAGTGACATTCGGAAATTCGACAACGCACTTTTTGAGCATTTAAAGAAGCCATTTTATAGGAAACCCAATTGCATTGTAGAAATTGAAAATGAATTGGACTCAGACCAAGAAAAAATGTAATTTCCTATTACATTGCATTAAAGGTTACTTTTACTTTCTTAATGACATAAATATTGTTACTGTTATTCCTAATCATATGAATTTGATTTAATTTAATTAGTTTGAAACTATTCAAAACTTATAACGCCTTCATTTATTTTTAGCTTCAAACTGTTCTCGTACATCCTGTTCCCAATGTTCGGAAAGCGAAAGCTCTTCTAGCGAAGATCAAAGTTCTTTTGAAACGCAGAAAGAGCATGAAGAAATACTAACCAAGTCGCCGTATGTACCACCTTTGCCGCTCAGCTCTGATAATTGCCTAGCAACGGATTTTAATCAGCCAGATCCGACCACCTATAAACCGATGACTGAAAAACAAAACGTACCTACTTCAGCACATTTGAGTGAATGTTTTAGGTTTAATTACACGCCAAAAGCAACTTTTGTTAAATCGCCACAAGTGCCTAGTAATTTTACGAAAGTTGGGTTAGGTTCTAGTAGTGGCATGCTACCTCCTCCTCTACCATTTACAGCATCTCTATCAAACGTCAGTAATATGCCTTATATGCAGAGTACTTCATTCGTCGAAGGATTTAATAATAGTCCTATTGTCAGTAACGCATTTTCTTTAAACGGGAGTGTTTTTAATAATTGCTCCGTGAGCAGTAACTCGTTCATGTCAAATAACAAGTTTTCAACATCCAGTTCAGACTTCACTTCAGCAAATATATCGTTAAATAACACAAAAAAACCACTATCGACTAATAAAGTAGTAGCGCCTCCGTTACCCAAGTTGATCCCAAACTCTAATACAGAGGACCTTATATCTTTTCCCTCACAGTATACATCAAATTCGCCATTTTTTGGAATGTCCAATGCAAATAGTAAGAAAAATCAACCGAAAGTTAAGTTCTCTGATACCGTAACAGCTTTCATAGTACCTGAAATAAAAAGACCACAAAGACCAGCTCCTCCTCCTTCTCATGTTACAGATCCTCAGAAGGAATTGGCCGATAGTCTACCATTGTGTCATCCGAACGAAGATTATTTAAAAGATTTTACGCCTGTAAAGAAGGAGGACACCGATGGAGAAGGTGACAGCGAGCAACCCAAAATTAAGGTTATACATTTTGGGGTCGTATGATTTTATAGGGGTTATAACAAGTTATTTTTCACTTGGCCTCGATTTCGACAAATCAAAGTTATATACCTCACAAACTTACATTATTACTCAGTGGGAGAGCAAAAGTGCTCTCTATGATCCATGCTAAATTATCATAACTTTTATAGAAAAACTTAACACGGTAGAAGAGCTTCCGAACGTTGGCGATCATTCTGGCTGTAATGACTTTGTTGGTTGCTATACGAAGTAGCCGTGTTGAGGTCTTTCTATACCATGCTCTCAGGTTAGTAAGCCAGGATATTCTTCTTCGTCGTGGGGCCCTTTTTCCTTCACTTTTACCGTGCAAAATCCATTGAAGTAGCTCGTATCTGCTTTGATTTCTCATTATATGTCCCAAGTACTGCTGCTTATGGCCCATCACGATGTTGATCAAATCCGGAGTTGTGTTCATCCTCCGCAGTACTTCTTCATTTGTGACTTTGTCTATCCATGGTATCTTCAAGATCCTTCTGTATGACCATAGCTCAAAAGCCTGAAGTTTTGATAGAGTTTCCGCCTTCAATGTCCAGCTAGCCACTAATTAACTATAAAACAGCTAAAAAATAAAAAATTATAGAAATTGTGTTTCAAATTGTTCCCTAGTGTTACAATTACTTATTGAAACTTTTTCGGAGTATAGATGATTGTATATAGTATACGTGTGATAATAACATATTTATCTTTACTCTCATTATGATTAATGCAGATTAAAAATAACATGAATTTCACATTACATTGTTGTGTTTTTTGTGTATTATTTATGCCAACTAATTGTTCTCAAGGATTGTTGTATTGGTCGTTATCTTGAGTCGTACGTCTAGCGCACCAAGCAACAACTGCACTATTTTTATATATCCGTCCAATTTATTAGCATTTAACGTTGGAATTTTATTTATTTTTATAATACTCATTTTATAATAAAGTTTTCATATATAACGTTATTTAATATAACCCGTCCTTATAAACCACAATTATCGTAAAATTGAAACTCATGTATGTTGGATACAACATGGATTGGAGTGGTAAATTATATAATGAATTCATATACATTACGAAAAATGTTGGTCTCGATATAGACCCCTGAGGATTATCTTCGGCTGCACTTACAGCTAAACAGATTTAATTGCAACGACGACGATTTGACACGACCAGACACGACAGACGTTGGTTGATGCGGTGTTGCCTAATCGAATATTATTTTAGAGGTATTGAACTGTAATATTAATATTCCATAATTACTGTAATGAGTTTATAATATTTATTATCAGAGCACTAATATCAAAGTTTAAATGTTTGAGGTAATTGATCAAATATGTTTTGCTAAATTGTTAGTCATAATAAAACAGAGCAAAATTTCACGATCTTGTGCACTCAGAATCCGATATTATCGTAGTTATCCGACAACGTAGCAAACACAGTAGAATTTATGTTCAATGCTAAATATATGGATGTTGACGCTTCGCCCGCTTGCATATAACTGAGTTTTGGCTTCTCCCTTTATTGATGAAGTGACCTTGAACGTTGCAGCTATATCTGTTGAGTTACAGCACATTGTTACATCTGTATTCTGTCGCTCAAATAGTCCCATAACCATATCCCTTTTTAAGCGTATGTAGGACATTCTTTGGCCGTGAACTTCAACCCCACTCAATTTGTGATTCTGTGATTATTATACATAGAACTTAGATAATTATACATAGAAAATTAGGTATCGTTCACGGGTATTCGCATATTAAAGCGAATTCTACTTACGGATGTATAATTGGTTGGAGTTTAGAATACGCTAAATAGATATTATCCAATCAATGATGCACATAATATAATTTGACGCAGATGGTCTCGATCGTGACAGTGACAGTACTTTCACAATGTCAACTGGTAAAATGATAATTGTCATTCCAGGTTAGTATTTTCAGACATTTTACCTACAGTGAAAATCAAATTTTGTATTTATTGTCATAAAAATATTTTAAATATTTCGAGATATACCGAGAATGAACAAAGACTAATATTAAAATTATTAAATTATTTTCAATTAGAAAAAGAGGCTGGGACAACTTTATTACCAGTTTCTGTCGTTCACGAATCAAATTGTGAATTCAGGAATGATATTGAGGAAATATCTTAAATTAATACCGTTATGGATATTTATATGTATTAAAACGGTTCTTTTTAGAACCACGACATTTTCTTGAAATGTAAGATATAATTGATACCAGCCTCATATCTACTGTAATAATTGATTTTAATTAATCAGATTCTGAATCGGATCGTGGATTGTTTGAAATATAATATTCATTTTTGTTATTCATAAAAAAGAAGGTAAACTTACATTCGATATCTTGATTTTTAACTAAACTCCATTAACACTATTTCATCTGGATACCGGAACTGGTAGATTAACTCAAAAATCAACTGCTTCACTATTTAAACTATTTCCACTATTTAATGATAAATCGTCACAAAATTAAACTATTAGCTGCCACAGAAACTTATCGGAAAATTACTTATCCAAATAACTTCAATCGATGGTATTTTATCACAGGAATGTTTGCTTTGATGCCTTGCAATTGCCAGTAAATTTTTTATCTCGCAGTCAACTTTTCAGCAACATCTCAAAAGATTCTAGGAAGAAGCGTTATTTTAAATAAACAAACATTAAAATTCCATAGTGTTTGTAATAAATAATAATAAATCCATAAACAAATCTTAGCTAATTAAGCACTTTCCTTGAAATGTATAAAATAGGAATTATGACAAACTGCCGTTCCAATATAATTCGCAATCAAAATTTTTATACAGGATTAGAGGTCCCCTCTAATATGTAAATTAAATAAAAATTTGAATTGTTAAAGTTTTTACTCCACATTTAAAAAAATATCCTTTTCAGTTTTCACATTTAGCCGATTACGTTCCTGCAACTGTCAGATTTAACTAAAATGTCATGCAATAATTCTCGACATTCTTAAAATCCTATATGACGTCAAAATTAGTGACGCACTGAAATAAGGGTTTGGGACAGACTACTCATGGACAAAAATATCAAATATTGTGGAATTTTCAAATTTTTTGTTGAAAATAAATTCTAGTCAATCAAGAAAAGTTTATTTCAACAATGTTTAATAAACAATTTTAAATTTTTATGAGGAGACAATTGCGAAAAAAAAAACAATGTCTAATATTAGGTAAATAAGGTTATTTAACTTAAATGCTAAGTCTTTTTAACTGAAACAAGTACATGATTAGTAACCAGTATTCACCCTTCTAGTTTTGATTACTTTTTGCATCCTTCTTGGCATGCTTGCAAGTAAATTTTGGAAACATCTTTGGCGAATTACATTCCATTCTCCTGTGCAGTAAGCTGAAGCTGCTCTATCGTATTTGGAACGGGATTTCTTTGTCGTATGCGAGGTGCCGAAAAGACACGAACCCAGATATTGGAATGGTAACAACGAAGGTCACATTTGCCACAACGTGCAAGAAAATAATACAACAGTCAGAAAGCTAGAACATATCGAATACTGGGCTGGAAAAAGCCGTTCAAATGCTGATGCTCAGTCAAGACGTGCATGCAATGCAAATTGTAATCACTGTCTTAAATTGGAGGAACAACTTTGCCTCGTGAGATGAATTACCGTCATTAATGATCAATGGCAGCCTCAACAGCTACAAGACGCTTAAGCAGATGATCCATGTATAAAAAGAGTATTTGATTGGATGCATCGAAGTGAAAGACCTTTTTGGCAAGACATTACTGCATGTAGTAAAGAAGTCAATTCTTAATGAAGCCAATGGAATTAGTACTAAAAGATCTAGAAAGTCTTCTGCATAGAACCTTTGAGAACAATGATAGTACAGAATCTAAGCTTCAGTTGATTGTACCTAAAAGTAAAGTGTCAGAAGTATTGCGTCAGTTGCATGACGGTGCATCATGTGTACACTTTGGTATTACGAAAACTCTGCAAAAGGTTCGAGAACCGTTTTATTGGGCGAACTGTAAAGATGGTACCGGAAATGTGAACTTTATGCAACCAGTAATGGTCCGGTTGGTAAAAAGAGGGCACCGATGAAACAGTACAATGTTGGTACTCCTATGGAAAGAGTAGCAATATACATTGCAGGTCCATTTCCAGAAACAGATGATGGAAATAAATATATCCTGTTAGACATGGATTATTTTACGAAATGGACTGAGGCCAATGGGATATCAAATCAAGAAGCTGCTAGCCGTTGCAGAGGTACTTGTTAAAGAATTCTTTAACCGATTTGGTCATCAACTTTGGTCAAATTTGAGTCAACCCTCTTTCAAAACGTTTGCAAATTGATTAGTGTCAATAAGACCAGAACGACACCTCTGTATCCTCAATCAGATGAAATGGTCGAGAGCATAGGCGTCCGCAGGACCAAAACTAGGGGGGGGGGCAGGAGAGTCTTCACTGAGAGGGGAGAGGGGAAAGGGGTTTCCCTCAGAAAAGTTTTGAAAATAACGTTTTTGGAGCCAAAATTATAACTCAACGCCTTCATACAAAAATGAAGCAAACTAAATATAATTTAAATATTTAAAAACTTTTAATGCTTTTTACAAAAACGTGATGCAAATTTAACAAGTTTATTTCCTCCTGGATAAGCCTTCGATTTGTGAATCAATATAAATTGTCTGTTCCTAAACACTATTATTTAAACAACAATTTACGCGGATCAATTGTAAATTCTTGTAAAACTTTCTCTACAAACTCTTCCTTTTTTGGTAATATTTGTATTTCCGATTAATACTCATTAGAGCTAACCCATTAAGGCGGTCTTCGACCATTGTACTCCGTAACCATGTTTTTATTCTTCGAAGACTGCTGAACGATCTCTCAACTGTACACGTAGTGCAAGGCTATGTTACGAGAATTTCCAGCAATTTTTTTGTTAACGGATAAAAGGTAGTGGACGCTCGAACCAGTTCAAAAATTTCAAGGGTGTTGAAGTTATCTAACTCATTATTAAGGAGTTTTTTTATGAGGTTTATAGTCAGTTATATAAATAAGAATTATGTAGAATTGTATAGAATTTGTTAAGTTTATGTGATTTTTTCGTCCCAGGTAGAATGTGCAAACAGAGTGATTGCATCAATTCAAAATTTACCAATCAACAACGATTGGTAAATACCTGTCCAAAGTTGTATCAGAATATCAACGAGATTGGGACCACCACATTCATTGATTCCTAATTGCCTGACTCCAACCTGCCTGATGTTAGGTCGTGAAGTTCGTTTGCCCAGCGACCCTCCGAAGAACATATTGCAAGCGAAGAATATGTCGACTGCCTGAAGTTAAGAATGAACAACATTTATGAACTTCCCGACAACACATCCAGTTAGCCAGTGGCAGAATAAAAGATCAATATGGTTCTCGATGCAAGAATGAAAGCTGTGAAGTAGGTGATCTTTTTTGGCTTTATAATCCAAAGCATCATCGAGGCTTGTCTCCTAAATTGCAAAGACAATGGGAAGGTCCGTATGAAATTGAAAAGTAAATGAATGACGTAATATACCGAATTAAGAAATTGTCGAAAGGTTAACCAAAAGCAATTCACATAAATCGCTTGCACCTTATGCTGGCTCAAATAAAACAGAACAAATACGAGCACTTCAACATGAGATCAAAGATGACCGGCGATCAAGCTTTAATTAATTTATGTCAAATTACACAGAGAGAAAGCGTGCTAGATTCGGCGTGACCACAGAAGTTCAGCAGGATATTTTTAGTGTTCCGCATAACGTGTCTGTCGGAATCGTGTCCGTATTCTATAAGAAGTTCGGTCGTTTAGACGAGTTAAAAAATAAGCAGCCTAAAGTTGAAAGAGTACTGAGATTAGAAGATGATTTTTAATCTTTGTCGTATATATGGTGACCAGGAAGTCGTATACAGACAAGGCAAGCAAGGAGGATA